CGTCATCGTCATCACCATCGTCGGCATAATCATCATCCTCAGCATCGTCATCAGCAGCATCAACATTGCCGCCACAACCACTATCATCATCATCATCATCATCATCATCATCATCATCATCATCATCGTCATCATCATCATCATCATCATCATCATCATCATCATCATTATCATCATCATCATCATCATCATCATCATCATCATCATCATCAACATCAATCTCATAATCATAAACACCACCACCATAAAATGCACCATCACAAGTAAGAGACCAATACATCGTCATGATGATCGTTATCATTGACGTGGCCGTCGTGCCGCCGGCTGATGGTCCCAGAGTAGCCCCTGGGAACATCAAGCCAGATGCGTGTAGGGGGGGGGGGGGCTTGGACGGGCCGTCCGGAATGACAAATGTTGTCCTCCTGGGGACCTCCTGGGAGCGTATTGGGCGCCTTTTGGGGGCGTAGTGGGGTCATATTGGAGACATCTGGAGCCGTCTGGGGCCGTCTGGAGGCTATCTGGGGCCGCCTTGGCTGTCTCGAGAGGCGTCTCGAATCCATATTTGACAATCTTGCAACGGTCTTGAAGGGTCTTGAGGGGCCCCAGTCGACCGTCTTGGGTCCTCCTGGGGCTCCACTAGGGTCACTCGTGAACCATCTTGAGGTCTGAGAGGCCTCTCGGAAGCGAAAAAGCAAGACCTTCAGCCACCGATGGCGTTTGTTTTCATAATATGTTCTAATGATTTGGGCCTCCTTCGGTCCTCTCGGAAGTTTTTGGGGGCCTCCAGGGGCCGTCTGGTGGCCATAATGAGCTGTCGGGGGTCGTCTGGAGGCTAGCTGGGACCGCCTTGGCGGGCTCGAGGGGGCAGTCTCGAAGCCATCTTATGCCGCCTCGGAGCCATCTTGAAGGGCCTTGGCGGCCGCAGTCGACCGTCTTGGGCCGCTTTGGGGCTGCTCGTGGGTCACTCTTGGACCATCCTGAGGCCTGAGGGGCCCCTCAGAAACGAACTGCGAAGGGTCGAAGAACTATAGTTCCCGTAATTTGTTGATGATCCCCGTCTTCACGAGGCCTCTCAAGCTTCTTGGGAACCGCTTGAGAGCCTTTTGTGGCCATCCGCGGGCCATCTCAATCGGTCTGGGGCTGCCTGGAGGCCACCTGGGACAGCTTTGGTCGAGGGCCGTCTCGAAGCCATCTTCGGCCGTCTTGCAACGGTCTTGAAGGGTCTCGGGGGGCCCGGGTCGAGCGTCCTGGGCCTTCTCTGGGCTCCTCGACGGCCGTTGTTGGGACGGCATGACGCCTCAAAGGCTCCTCGGAGGCGATGAAGCGAGATCTTGAAACACATCTCCATCCAGAGTTTGACACGTGTTGCCCTCCTGGGGGCCTCTTGGAAGGTTCTTGGAGGCCTCCATGGGCCGATGTGGGGCCATCTTGACCTGCCTGGGCCCGCCTGGAGCCGTCTCGAAGCCATCTTGGCCTCCTCGGAAGCGAAAAAAAAGCAAATGCTAGAAAAACAATGGCTCCTCGTAATTCGTTAATGATTCCCGTCTCCCCGACTTCTCGGAAGCTAATTGGGAGCCTCTTGGGCGCCTTTGGGGGGCTGTCTGGAGGCCATCTCAATCTGTCAGGGGCTGCCTGGTGGCTACCTGGGCCGTGTCGGCGGTCTCGAGGGCCGTTTCGAAGCCATCGTCGGCCGTCTCGGAGCCGTCTTGAAAGGTCTGTGCGGCCCCAATCGACCGTCTTGGGCCTTCCTGGGGCTTCTCGACGTCCACTGTTGGACCATCATGGGGCCTCACAGGCTCCTCGGAAGCGATGAATAGGGATCTTGAATCAATTGATGTTCTTCAGCTTTTGAAAGAGTTGAGCCTCCAGGGAGCCTCTTGGAAATTCCTTAGGGCCTCCAGGGGCTGTTTGGTGGCCATATTGAGCTAGCTGTCTGGAGCCGCAGGGAGGCTAGCTGGGACCGTCTTGGCGAGCTCGAGGGCAGTCTTGAAGCCATCTTCGGCCGCCTCGGAGCTATCTTGGCGGCGGCAGTCGAATGTCTTGGGCCGCTTTGGGGCTCCTCGTGGGCAATGTTTGGGCCCTCCTGAGGCCTGAGAGGCCCATCGGAAGCGAAACGGTCACTGGTTTCCCCTAATTTGTCAATGATGTCCGCCTCCCGGAATCCTCTCGGAAGCTTCTTAGGAGCCTCTTGGGGGCCTTTCGGGGCCGTCTCAATATGTCTGGGGATGCCTGGAGGCCACCTGGGGCCGTCTTGGCAATCTCGAGCGCCATCTCGAAGCCATCTTCGGGCGTCCTGCAGCGGTCTTGAAGGGCCTTGAGGGCTCCAGTCGATCATCTTCATTGCTTACCCCAAGGTTTTGACAGATTTCAGCCTCCTGGGGGCCCCGAACACGGCGCCGAGAAATCCGCCGACACCTTGGGGTCACGGCGTGTGAGATGCTTCCCCCTCCCCAAACCCCTCCCCCGGGGGCCTGGTCCGGCCAGTTTGGAAGGGGGGGAAGGGAATCCGTCATCCGCACACTTGGAGCCTCAGGAGGCCCCAGAAAGGACCAAAAAGGTTCCAAAGGCTCCCGGAACGGTCCAAGAGAGGCACGCATCGACAAAAGATCGCCTCAAGACGCCGAAGATTGCCTCCACACGGCCCCAGAAGTCCCCAAGACGTTTGATCAATATTACGAGGCGCCCCACAGAGGCCCTCCAGAAGCAAAAATCGTCCCATTTCCTAGGGAACGCGTACATTTCCACCACATTCGCCCATCCGGCTCCCACGCGGCGCAAAACGGTGCAACAAACCACCAAGATCGACCCTCGCCAGCCCAAAAGGCCCCCAAAAAGACTCCAAGACGGCGTCCGGGCGATCCACGAAGGCCCCAGAAACCATAGCAACGGCCCAGGAAAGCCGCAGGACGGTCCGAAGAAGGCTCCAAAACGGGGCAGGAGGGCTCCCAAAGGCTGTCCGGACGGCCCACGCGGGGGACGATTCGGTCCAAACTGCCCAAGGGTGCCTCCCGACAGCCCCATGAGCGTCCAAGACGCTTGCATACGCGACCACGATGCGCTCCAAGAAGGCCTCCAAAAGCAAAAACCGTCCCATTCCCTAGGTAAGACGTACATTTTCAGCATACTCGCTTCTTGGGCTTTCACGAGGCCCGCACCGGCCTAATGAACCTCCAAAATCGACCTCTGGCACCCCAAGAGGCTCTCCAAAAGGCTCCACGACAGCCTCCGGGCGCCCCACGAAGGCCCCAGAAACCATAGCAACGGCCCAGGGGAACGGCAGGACGGTCCTAAGAGGGCTCCAAAACGTGTCCAGAGGGGCCTCACAGGCTGTCTGGACAGGCCACGCGGGGGACGATTGCTGCCGCCCCAAGGGGTCGGCGGTGTGGCGTAAGCTAACGAATCGCAGGAAAGGACGCACGTCGGGCCTTCTGGGCCCTTTCTGGGAGCCTCTCGGGATGTTTTTCGAGCTTCGGGGGGACTTCGTTGGCGCCTCTGTGGGGGTTTCCCCGGGGCCAACTCTCGGCGTCGCCGCCTGCGAGCCTCTCCCTGGGGGCTCCCTGGGGCGCCTCCTGCGCAGCCGTATCCGCAGCGGTGAGCCCCAACGCGCGGTTGCTGAAAATTTGTACACCCCACACGGAAATCCCCAAAGTGGGCATCCTGACGTCTTCTCCGAGAGCATCAGGGCAGGCTCCAGAGGCGTCTTGGAAACCTGCGGGGCCGACTGGCGGTCCACACGGGGCGTCTTGGACCACTCTGTGGGCGTCTTGGACGTTCCCTGGGTGGTCTGGGCGGCCTCAGGACCCCTCTTGGCACGCTCTGGGCTCCCTCCGTGGAGCCTCCCACGCTGTCTGGGCAGGCTCCTTGGGGTCGTCTTGGGCCGTCTTGAAGGTTCTGTGGGCCGTCGCCGGGGTCCCGGAAGCGCCTCGTGCGCAATCGTAAATGCAAAGGAGAACCCGAACGCGCGGTTGCTGAAAACGTAGGTTGTCCGCGTGGAGTTGCCCAATTTCGGTTTCCCGACGCCTTCTTGGGGCGCGTCAGGGCAGCAGCTGGATGCGTCTTGGAAGCCTCCAGGCCCTACTTAAGGTCCTCATGGGGCCTCTTGGAGCGCTCTGTGGGGGTAATGAACGTCCCTTGGGCGTTCTGGACGGCCTCAGGACCCCGCTAGGCACTCCCTGGGCCTCCCCTGGGCGGCCGCCCAGGCCGTCTGGGGAGCCCTCTTAAGGTCGTCTTGGGCCGTCTTGGGGGGTTCGTGGGCCGTCTTTGGCCTCCCTGGAGCGCCTCGGGCGCCGTCGTAGACACAGTGGAGACCTCAAGCGCGCGGTTGCTGAAAGTGTGTTTTCCTGGAGAAATTACCCAATGTTGGCCTCGGGAAAGATCCAAAGGCATATAGGGAGCCTCCAGGCCCTTCTTGAGGGCCTCTTGGAGAGCTCTATGGGCGTCTTGGACATCCTCTGAGCTGTCTGGATGGCCTCTGGAGCTCTCTTGGCACGGTCCCGGCCGCCCGGTCCTCCCATGCGCTGTCGGGGGCCGCGTCCCGGGCCGCACCGCCTCGTATGGTGGGCCCCGGAAGCCCTGAACCCGATAATGTTGTCATCTCTTGGGGGCGCGTCTTTTACTTCGTTGTACTTCCGCCAGCCTGAGCCGGCCTTCCGCCGCCTTCCGCCGCCTTCCGCCGAGGAAGGCATGGCAACTCCTTCGACCCTCGGGGGCGAGGCCTTTTTGGGAGCGATGCTCGTGGCGGAGACCATGTCTAGGTCGTCGCTGCTTGACGTCTGGCAAGGGGCGGTGGCCAGCGATTCCCCCTCGGCCCCCCCCCAGTGCGGCCGCTGGCCGCCCGGAGAGCACGGCGCGGGCGGACGTGCGGCGGGAATGCGTGCCGGGTGGCGGCTCGCCGTCGATCGTCGTGGGCCAGCGTCGGCAGTCGTCGCCACCGTCGTCGCCGTCGGCGTCGTCGTCGGCGTCGTCGTCGTCGTCGTCGCCCGTCGTCGGACCGTCCGAGCCTGGACTCCGCATTGCCCTGCTCGCGGCGCACGCAGAGCCCCGCCTCGAAGCCCATCGGCCTCCTGGCGGCGGGCGGGCCGCAGAGCGGCTGGGGTCCTCCCGCCTCCGCCTCCCGTCTCGGCACGGCGGCGGCGGCGGCCTGCGCAGCGTGCTGGCGGCAACGGGGGCGGCGATGCGAAGCGGCCTCGAAGGGCCGCCTCCACCTCCCCCATCCAGGGCCGGCGGTTCGCCGGCGCAGGAGGGGGCCGACAGCGCAGTGGCGGCGCCTCGCGCTCGCAGGCAGCCGAGGCCCGACGCGGCTCGGGAAACTTGCCCAGCTGCCGACGTGCACGCACGCAGGCCCTGCGTTCTCGACGTCGGCGTCGTTGACAAAAGGCTCGAGGCGGGGGACACGAGGGTCATGGGGCCCCATTTGAAGCCTCTGGATCTGGCCGAACTCGGCGCGCTCCTTCGAAACGCCGGCCACGGCATCCCGTGAGCGATTGCGTTCGAAGTGTTGGCCGGAGCCTCGGGCCGCAGCCTTCCCGTGGCTGCTGCAGCTCCTGTGGCGGCAGTCGCTGCCGCGAGAGCGGCGCGGGCCCGCGGCGGCCTCTCTGGCGCGGGCCCCGGGAGGTCGTGCGCGTGTGTGCGGGGAACGGTCCGACAGATTGTGTACGCGTGTCGGCCTGCTCTTTCCAACCCAAGCGATTGAAGTCAGATGCCCAGGGGATGCTCTGAATCTCCACTCCACGCGTCGAAATTCATTGCGCTTCCTGTATCCTTGTCATGCTCTGAATACTTCGCCCAGCGAGCCACCTCTTTATGCTCAGGTACGGGAAAATGGTGCCGCGCAATCTTGTCCGGAAACACCGCCACCAGAAACCATGATCTGTTTCGGGTGCTACAAGATGTCGTCCTTGGTTGGGCGATGCAGGGGAGTTGTAAGACTTCCTGGGCTCGCGCGGGAACATCGGATCATGGCGGAGTAAGGCAACCGAGCGAGGATCGGGCAGTTCCTGGCAAACTGCATGCGCGCCGCACCCCTGCAAGCCAGATGTTCGACATCGCAAGGTCGCAAAAGCTCGCAAGATGTCTGCAGCTGAGGGTGCCCAAACAGATGTGCAGTGTCCGTTGCCCCAGCGCCGATCGGACCCAGCAGGATAGGGTTCTGAATTGGTCATAGAAGTTCGTGCACATGCCGATGATCCTCAGTCAGTGTGTTAGCGCCAACGTGTGCGTGTGCACCGAAGCCTTTTCTTACGACGCAGGCGGTGCCAATGAGGGCCGACACAGGGCGCGTGCTACATGACGAACGATCAACACGCACCCATACCCATAGGGGAGACGGAATGAGCTATGGGTGCGTGTTGTCGGATAGGGGTCCCCGCTCGAACGGGAGCCTCCTCAGGGGTCCGACAACCCGCACCCATACCCATAGCCAGTCCTCCTCCCTCCGACCTCCCTATGGATATGGGTGTGTGTTGTTCGTTCGTCACTGAAGGCGGAGCTGAACGAGGCAAAGACACATTTCGATAAACAAACGTCCTGAGGATCGTCGACGTTGGTCACCCAGCTGCGGGGCACTCTTCCAGCGGCCACCGGCAGGCAAGGGTCGGCGGAACCAGGGTCGGGGGCCTTCTTCTCCTCCTGCCAGCCGGGGTTGGCACTCGTGCGGGGGGCCCGTCGCTGACCGCCAAGGGGATGGGTCGATCGCCCGCCGACGCTGTCGGCGCTCGTCCCGAGCGGCGAACAAGTCGATGTCCTTGCCCTCGCGCTCTGGGTACCACGGCGCGATCCCATGAATACGCGATTCCTGGCCGCAGGGCAGTGGACATGGACACGTTTCCAGCCCGCGAATACGGGAACGTCAGAAGTTATAGGCAGGAAGAGCTTCACGACGTGGCCGTGCAGGACGAGGAGGAACAGCCTGGGAGGCTGGCTTCAAGCGGCGCAGGCTCATGAAGCAGCGCGCCAAAACATACGCCGCCGTCATGGTCAAGCTGCTGCACAAGTCGTGCGGCGAGTAACGATCCCCGTCCGAAGCCCACCAGGAACCATAATATGACGCCCCTGGACATCAAAACGCAAGGGCAAGGACGGTCACACGATTGCAACATTCAAGCATCGCTCTGAGTGTCTCGAGGTGGTCCGGTGTGGGCTCCGATATTGAGGCATCTTCATGCGATATTTAAACAACACTGCGATGCTCACTTGCGCCAGCCAGACAATTCAGCATCATGACTGTGACCTCATGGTCTCTGCGGTCGCCACAGACAGCCTCCTCTTTCACGACGATGTGCGATTACCAATTGGGTTACCGATGGCTCCCAGTCGATAACTTTTTCCCAACCACCATGTGGTTTTGGGTCCTCGTTCTGACGCGACAGTGCCCCGCGACACCCCCTCCTCTCCCCTTCCCACTCCTCCCTCCTCCTCCTCCTCATCCCTCTCCCTCTCCTCCTCCTCCCCCCCTCCTCCCTCCTCTCCCTCTCCCTCCCTCTCCCTCTCCTCTTCCTCCATTCTCCCTCCCTCCCCCTCCCCCTCCACCCTCCTCTCCCCCTCCCCCTCCTGCTCCTCCTCCCCTCCCTCTCCCCCTCCTCCTCCTCCCATCCCTGCCTCCGCCCTCCGCATGTCAACCAGGCCCCTCAGGGAGTTCCACCTAAGGCTCCAATGGCCACGTTTGCATGTGGCCGCCGGACCCATTTCGGCACACCCCTCAGGCGCTTCGTGGCCCCATAGAAAGCTCCATCGAAGGCCCCAGTGGCCATGTTTGCAAGTGGCCGCCCCTCCAAGTCCTGCACACCCCTGGCCTAATGGGGAGCTTCACCTGCAGCCCCAATGGCCAGGTTCGCATGTGGCCGCCCAACCTTTTTCGTCCCCACCCCCCCTCACACGCTGCATGGCCCCATAGGGAGTTCCACCTAAGACCCCAGTGGCCACGTTCGCATGTGGCCGCCACCCTTGTCGTCACACCCCTCACAGGTTCCATGAACCAATGAGGAGCTCCACCTAATGCCTCAATGGCCGTGCTGGCGTGTAGCCGCCTTACATATTTAGGCACAATCCTCATACTCTTCATTGCCTCATATGGAGCTCCGCCTAAGGCCCCAGTGGCCATGTTCGCATGTTTCGGCACACCCCTCGGCGCTTCGTGTCCCCATAGGGTGCTCCACCCAAGGCCCCAGTGGCCATGTTCAGATGTGGCCGCCCCGCCCATTTCTGCACACCCCTCACACGTTCCATGGGCTCATGGAGAGCTGCACCTGAGGCCCCAGTGGCCTCGTTCGCAGGTGGCCGCCCCGCCCATTTCGGCACGTCCTGCACGCGTTTCGTGGCCCAGGAGCTCCACCTAAGGCCCCAGTGACAATTTTCGCATGTGGCTGCCTACCTATTTCGGTGCACCCCTCACACGCTTCGTGGCCCGGTGGCCCCATAGGGAGCTCCACCCAAGGCCCCAATGGCAATTTTTGCGCGTGGCCGCCGAATCAAGATCGGCGCATCCCGCGCGCGTCCCGTGGCCTTATGGGGAGCTCCGCCTCAAGCCCAAGTGGCCATGTTCGCATCTGGCCGCCCCACCCATTTCGGCACACCCCATTTCCCAAACCGCAGTGGCAGCGCCCGCATTGCGGCCTCGCCCCGCTTCGGCACACCCTTTACTCGCTTCATGGCCCCCGACGGAGATCCACCGAAGGCGATACCCACAAGGACGGTCATCACAACTGCATCTGGTTGGGCACTTCGCCAGGATAATGTATGTGCGATCGGCGCTCGCCATGTGGTCATCCTCCTCCACCTTCCCCTCGGCCACCGCTCCATGGTTTCGGTCGACTCACACCGTCCAATATTTGCGCCTGCCGGGGATGGACAGACCCCCCTTTAGCAAAACGTGGTTTAGTGAAGACGACCTCGGGCCCAGAGCTGGCGGACGCAAGCCTGGAACATGACGGCCGCGGCGCCCTCTGGAGAAACGAAAACGGACAATTCACTAATCGACGTGTCAGGGTACGGCAGGTTCGTGTCGTGCCGACCCCAGCGTTGGTTTTTGACACCGCAGGGATCGTTCAACCTTGAACGATCGGCCGCTGCCGCAACGTCCGATCGTTCAACATCGATTAATTCTGGGTCGCCGGCGGCGTTCAACCTTGAACGTCCGCGCTGGGGTCGCCGCTGGTCGACACGACACGAACCTACCGTAGGAGGTCTGCCCACCCCCGAGCCTGCCACTGACACTGGCACAACGGGCCACGAGGGCACGGCGGGCAGGAACGAGCACGCGCCGAGCCTGCTCCCCGGGAACCAAGACCCAACCCTGGAGGCGGCCAGGGGGATGCGGCCAGAGCCAGCCGCGTCCAGCCGTGGCGACGAGAAACCACCAGGAGGTCCCCCAAACAAAAACGAGCAGGGCACTCTTCTCCGCGGACCTGCCGACCGAATCCAGTACTGGGCCAGCTCAGGCTCCCAGACGACTCCAACCGAGACCCTCCTCTGACAGAGAGGGAGGCCAACGATGGGTACACAGCGAGAGGGAGGGCACACTTCGCGACCCAGGCCTCCTCCCCCTGCCCGAGGCCACAGTTTGTGTACACACGCACACACACACACACGCACACTGCCTCCCAGGTGGTGGTAGTGTGTAGCCTCCTGGCCTCGGGCCCTCCTCCCGTTGCTGCTGCTGTAGGTACGGGTGATATGTCGCAACGCTGCGCACCTTTTCACACCATCCCCTCTTGGTCGGCAACGTCAGGGGGGACCAGCGCAGGGGGGGAAGCATACAACTTGAATCGGGCACACGTCGTCGATAGATCGGCCAAACGCCTTCAAGAATTAGCGCAGGCGCAAGCTCCTTGGCGGCGCGGGCTGTCGTGCCCCTGTCGGCGATGAGCTGGCGCTTGGAGGTCGATGCCTTCCCCCCCGAGCCCCGTGGCCTTCGGGTCGTAGCTCGGCTCTCCGACGGCCGTGCGGGAGGATCCGGGCACCCCCAGAACGCCTTCGGCAACGCGCAGCTGCTGGAGTGCACCCCGAGGATGCAAAGCCGCAGAAAACCAACGAAACTCCCGAACACCTCGAACCTCGTGCGCGTCTGGGATAGGAACGACATCATGATGCGATTGGTTCAGGATGCGTTCCAAGGATTCCGGAGTATCTGCGGGCCATCTATTCTGCCGCCCGCATGGAAGGCATGCGAAACATTAGTCTGTCCCCCTCCCCCCCCTTTCCCCTTCCCCAGAATCGGATTGGAGGTGGGAGGGCGGGGGGGGCGTAGATGAGCTCCTCCACGCACCCCCCAGGCTTCCGGAGCCTCTGAAGAGCCTCAAGTGTTTCAAGAGAGCCCAAACAGAGCGCCAACACAGCCAAAGAGAGCGTCGAGACGGCCCAGTGTCGCCCCAAGACGGTCCAAGATGGCTTCGAGACGGCCCACTCGCCCCCAAGAAAGCCCAAGCGTGCTCCCAGAGGACTGCCGAGAGGGCTCCAAGAGGCAAAAATGATCCCATGTTTTCAGAAAACGTGCATTTTTTGCATGCTCACCTATTTCGCCCTGACAGCGTCCAAGACGGCCCAGGGGGGCCCCGCCCAACAGGGCCCATGAGGCCTCCAAGGGGGCCCCAATACTGACCAAGAGGGCCCCAAGACGGCCGTAGGTGCCCCCCAGACGGCCCAAGAGAGCCCCAAGAGGGCCGTAAGAGTGGCCCAAGAAGAGGGATGCGAAGTTATAGTTCGAGCCTTTCTCCCAAGATGGCCCCACGAGCCCCCCCCCCCCCTCCACGATGGGGTCCGCAAGAAGCCCCCAGGATGCCCCCAAAAAGGGCCAAGAGAACCCCCAGGTGCCCCCAAGAGCCACAAGAGCCCTCCAAGAGTCTCCTGAGAAGCATCACGCGAGCACCTCAAATGCATTCAAGAAGCTCCTGACCTACTAGATCACTTCCAAGATCGTCGCAAACAATCGCTCCTTCTGGCGGGCCGGCGGAATGGTGCAAGCCACTTGAACCAGAGAAGCCCATACGAAGTTCGACATCTGGAACCGCGTCATTCTAATGACCTCTTGCTCCTCTGACTCTCCCCTCGCTGGCTCCTGGCGTAGTCCTTGCTGTTGCCGCATACAGCGTCGTCCCGCGCCTGCTCCCGCAGGCGCTGCACCATGGACGCGTCGGACTCGCCCCGCCACCTGAGTCACGACAAGATACGGGTCTTACGCAGGAGAAAGACGTGGAGACCTCCTTGCTAACCATCCTGTATTCCTACCCCTAAGATTGAAAAGCCCAACTGCGATGACAATCTCAGGGATTCGCCCTCAGAAGCTGAGGGAATCCTTGAGATCGTCATCGTCCTGAAGTGAGGCCAATCATAGGGCTGGGGAGATGTCCCAGGCCGGTAACTTGCGGAGTGGTTTACGCATGGCGCCATCGTGGCACACCGCGTGGAGCAGAAGGCGCTCAGGCGCGGCCTTGCGAGGGAAGCTCACGCGCGAAGGCCCGCGGCTGCGGCGCGGCCTTGCCCGGGAAGCTCACGCGCGAGTGCCCGCGCGTCCTCTCCCGCCGCTCGCCTGGACCAATCCGGGCCTCCGCTCTGGCGCCCGCGGCTGCGGCTGCGGCTGGCGCTCCGGCCGCGGGGCCGGGCGTCCCTGAGGATCACGGTGCCGAGGTGCGCGGCGAGCTCTCCGCCGCCCTCGAGCTCCACACCCACCTTCACGCGGGACTTGACGCTCGAAGAACGAAGACATCTGCACGAGCATAGCAAGCTGTCGGAGGTGCTCGCGGATTTCCCGGATCGGCGGTGGGCCCACCTCGCTGGCGCCGCCAGGGGGCCCAACGCCGATCCCAGAAATCCGCCCAGACGTCCGAGAGGTTGTGTTTACGCAGCGTTTTCTTCTCCAAGATGTTGCCCATGAGGCCAGTCACCCTGCCGCCCACCCACTCGCCTTTGTGGCAAACCTCGACGGGAGTCCCGGGCTTCTGAAAGAGGCGCATTTCGTGCTGGTTGGCCTGCGCTCGTTTGCGGTACTGCGAAAGGGGGGCCAGGTGCTCCTCCAACTTCCTGCGGACGACTACTGGAAGGCGTGGAAGAGGGGTGCCGAAGTACTTATCCTTCGTAAGCAACGACTCCACGTACTCCCCGACCGTAGGAGGCAACGATGGCTGCTTCACTCTGAAGTCACCGAGGTCCTGGTCGTCTAACATGTACTCCTCCAGCGTGTCCCACAGCCGATCTGGGCGCAGACTGAATCTTGCGAAGAGACATGCAGCACATCGCACAGGAACAGACTCCGAGTGGTCCAGAAGCCAATGCAACTCCTCCACTGTGTGCTCCAGCGTGAACAGCCGGAAGACGCAACAGAAGAAGACAGAGGGGGACGTGGTACTGCCCGCCTGGTAGACGTCCAAGTCGTCGGCGAAGCCCGAGATCTCCTCCGCCAGCGCGTCGACCGTGCCGGCGTTGTCGAGCAAACTCTTAAAGTAGCTCGACTTCAGGATCTGATCCTTCAGCATGGGGCTGCAGCTGAACGTGGGCTTCCCCGATTCCTCGGAGGTCCCGCCAGCCCCGGTCTTGGCGGCGGCGGTCTGCGGGGCCGCCTGCGTGGCCGCGCTCTGGGCCTGGGAGAACCTCTGGCAGAACTTGCAGGCCTTGTTCGGCTTCTTGTGGAGGTGGCACCTGCGTGTCGGCGGCAGAGTGAAGACTCGGCGGCGGGCCGGGGGGGGGAGGCAGGGGGGGCTGACCTGCCCTTGGGCGTCGCTTGATGGGCGATCAATGGGAGGGGAGGGGATGGGGGGGAGAAAGGCGCATTCCTCAGGCCCTGAAGGTCCCCTTTGGGGCCTCAGAGGCTCCCGTCAGGGGCCCTGAAGGCAGTTCGAAGGGCCCCTTTTCTGCAGCCCCCGCTGCCCCCCCCATTTCTGGTGCCCCACGACGCCCAACATTCGGCGGTGGACAAACCTCCCTTTAGTAAACCACCCTTCAGTGAAAACGGCCTGGGACCGAAACCGACGGACCTGGACCAGCAAAAATGACGACCGCGACGCCCTCTCGCGAAACGAAAACGGCCAATCCGCTAATCGACGTGTCAGGGTAGGAGGTTGATCAACCTCCGGAACATTCTGGGCTCAGGAGGAGCTCCGGTTCTCCGGCCGTTCCTGAGTTCCAGGTCGGGGGGCCGATCCGTTGCAGAGATCAGCCGTGGCCGGGAAAGCCCCCTTCATTCCCCCTTGGGCGCCCCTCGAGGCACGATGGCTGCAGTAAAAACTTCGGGGGGGGGCCAAGCCCAAGGCCAGCCAGTCCGCTCTGCGCCTGATGTCCGCATCGCAAGCCACCCTGCCGAGCACATTGGAAAGCAAGACAGGCCCCCCGTGGCATCCCCCCCAAAAGGACCCACGCAACCGACCAAGCCCACGGAAACCGCACGACTTCGGGACACGTCGCATCGAAAGGGGCCCCCTTCCAGGAGAAAGGTCTGCCGCCCCGGACAACTCGGGGGACCCGGGAAGGCTGTCTGCGCGCAACCCGAAGCCTTACCAGGCGCAGTGGGCCAGAGCCGGCGGAGCGACACGATGGGCCAAAGTCCCTGACCGCAGATGAGCCAAAGTCCCTGACCGCTGATGGGCCCAAATGAACGCAACCCAGACATGCGACGTCCGGATGTTTTCAACATACGGGGCCCCCAGAAGTCCCGACCCTTTCCCCAATACTGGATTTTCATCCCGAGTCGTTTGTAGACGTTCCTGGAGCCTGGCGGGAACGCCCAAGGGCCGAACATAGCAAAACAACAAACACGTCGAGATCTGTTAACAAGCATCTCTCCCTTTCCTGGGCTGCGGTCTGACAAAAAGGATAATCCAGCAGTGGGACGAGGACACTCTAGAGGACGAACAACGGTATCGGTACCGTTTCCTTCTCTGAGGTTAGTGTCTCGCGCCGAAACGCTGTAGGCCAGGACCAGAGGAGCGACACGCTAAGCTCGTTTCCCTGACAGTAGACGAGCGCAAGGCCGCCCTCGATGAACGCAACGCAGACATGCGACATCCTGATGTGTTCGATGGGTCGCCGAGAATCCCGACCCTTTCCCTGGGACCAGTGTTTCATCCCCTCCGACTCACAATACAATGTGGTCCTCAGCGCCTGGTTTTCGGGTCATAACTTGGCTCTCCGGCGGCCGTTCGAGACGATTCTGACACCCCCGGAACGCCCTCGGCGAGGGTCAGCTGACGAAAACCACCCTGGGTTCTAGAGAATTCCGAGAACTCCAGAAAACGTTCGAAAACCATCCTGAGCCCATCCATCCCCACTGAATCACTACACAGTGTGGTCAGCACACCGTTTGGGGTTCCCCCGAGATGGAGCAGGGACTGACAGCCCCGGCATCCCTAAAGGTCCACCAGGCGATCTCCGACAGGAGCGCTCTACGAACCTGTCGTACAAGCCACAACAGGCTCTCCGAGTATTCTTTGGCGTGCCCTCGGCAGGCCAGGAAGCCTCGCCACCGCTTGAGCAAGAGGAGCGCAGGGCCGCCGCGCCCGTTGGGCGGGTGTCGCATAATGGGGGCGCGGTAAGCGAGGGGGGGCAGACAGGTGCACCTCTCGGGCTCTACAGGCCCCTTTTAGGAGCCCTGCAGGGCTACTCTTCTACAGCCCTCGCTGCCCCCCCCAAAAAAATCCATCGCCCACCCATTACGCAACGCCCGGGCCCGCGGCACCTCTTCACCTCCGGGGGCGTCGCCCCCTCGCCCTCGGAGGCGGGGGCCTCGGGCTGCGCCGGGCCAGCGTGCTGCAGCGGCGGCTGCGGGGCGGCCGCGGCTCCCGGGGCCTCTTCTGTGTTGGCGGCGCGCACCAAGGGGGGGGGGGCAGCGCAAGGGGGGCGGCCTTCTCAGAAGGCAGACGGGCTTCTAAGAAGGCAGGGGCCTTCTGGGAAGCCCTGGCGGCTTCCAAGAGGCCTTCTTATAGAAGCCTCCAGGCCCGCCTGAGAAGGCCCCGGCCTTCTAAGAAGCGCGCCGCCATCGTAGGAGGCGCCCCCCCTCGCGCCACCGCCTGTGTGCGCGCCGCCAACTGATGTCGCATTGAGTCGGCTGCACGAAAGAGTGACCCTAGGCAAGAGCTTCTCTGTCGCATCGAGGCTCGATCGCATCGAGGATCGAACCTAGACCTCCAACGTGTTGAAGAATCAATGCAGAGGTTTCTCGCCGTTGTCGGCCTCATGAGGCCTTCCGTGTTTGTGGCATCGAGGCTCGATCGTATCGAGGATCGAACCCAGACCTCCAATTCCCGGTTTGCAGTTGCATGTCCGAGGAACTGGATGGGTTCGGCAAGGTTTCGCCACGATGCCGCCCTTGTCCGCCTCTGGGTCCAGCGAGGTTTCGTCATGTTGCCGCCCGTTGCCGCTTCGTTGCCACCTCAAGCTTGCACCACGCATACTGCACCACACGGCTTACATCTCATAGTTTGCACCACATAGGTTTAACAAATCTACCGTAAGAGCTTACTGTTTGGGGTCCACGCTGGCTAACATGCACTGACAAGATCAATGCCAATATTGTTTTTGGTGTTCTGCCTCTGGGCGCTCTCGGCAGGCGCCAACACCGTCAAGAAGCAACTCAGGATGCAAAACCGGCCATGGGGAAAGGGTCGGGATTTCTGGAGATCTCGCGTTGAATAACTCACGACATCGGATGTGTAAGGACATGCTCCACATCCGACAATTTGGGATTGGATTACCGCCAAGGTTACTACGGGGGCAGGGGAGTTAGAACTGAATGCTAACGTAGTCATCTGTGGCCTAACGTAGCGCGCATGTGGTTTACAAGTGCCCTGAGTGATCCAGAATGACTTGGTAACTCCGCTAAGTCGACGAAGCCCATGTAACCAGGACGCATACACCCCTTAAGCCACTCGGGGCAGATGAAACCAAGGCGTTGTTAGATTTGAAGAAGCGGGCTCCTGAACTGCCTCACACACCCTGCGTACCGCGGCCGCCACGCCCCAAAGGTCCCGGTGCTCCCTGGGCCTCCCGCCTTCGGCGACTATGGCAGCTGCATCCCTCGCCTCCCCCCTTCTGACCCAAAGGTCCCGGTGCTCCCTGGGCCTCCCGCCTTCGACGACTCTGGCACCTGCGCCCCTCGCCTCCCCCCTTCTGACGAGCAGAACGCCGGCCTGCGGCTGGCCTGCGCCCCCCGCAGCCGCCGGCACGGGCGGCGGCGGCGGTCGCCCTGGCCCGGCCTCTGCGGCGTGGCCGAGCCCACCCTCCTCCTCGGACCTCCTCGGACCTCCACGTGCTCGCCCTCGATCCTCCTCGTTCTCCTCTCTCTCCTCTCTCTCCTCCTTCTCCTCCTCCTCCTCCTCCTCCTCCTCCTCCTCCTCCTCCTCCTCCTCCTCCTCCTCCTCCTCCTCCTCCTCCTCCTCCTCCTCCTCTCCTCCCCCTCCATTTCGCCTCCTCCTCCATTTCTCCTCCTCCTCCTCCATCTCTCCTCCTCCTCTTCCTCCTCCTCCTCCTCGATCATCGATGCTCCTTCTCCTCCTCCCCCTCCTACTCCCCTCCTCCTCGACCCTACTCCAAGCCCAAGTCGATCCTCCTCCTCCTCTTCCTCCTCATCCTCCTCCTCGACCTCCTCCACCTCCACCTCGATCCTCCTTCACGACACTCGTTCTATTCGACCCTACTCTACCTCTCGTCTGCATTCCTCCTTCCCTCCCTCCTCCCTCCACCTCCTCGCCCCCAGACCTTCTATGTACTGAAACATGTTTTCGCCGTGTTCGGCCCCCGGGACGACCCAAGATGGAGAACTGGCCCTGAGGAAACGGCTGGGACTTGTGAGGACCCAAGAGTAGCACCAATAAAGACATCGGATATAGGTTTCCTCTTTTTCATCCTCAGTCCTTCTTGGACGTTTGCACTGTCTGTTCCCCGCCTTCATCCGCATTTTGGGGACGCTCCATGTTGTGCCATTTAGTGCCGAGTGGAATAGAATTCCGGGGAATGACGACTAGCGGCGGCAGCAGCAGCGGCAGCAGCAGAGAGGAGGGGGAGTGAGAAAGATGAGGACGCGGAGGCGAAGGAGGAGGAGGAGGCGGAGGGCAATGATGAGTCAGGTGGCATGAGGACGAGCACGTAAGAGATACCAGGAGGAGTAGTCAGATCAGACGAGGAGCCATGAGGATAGGGACGGAGGGACGACGACGAGGAGTGGGAGAGGTAACGACAGTCACGGAAACAAAAAGAAAGGGAGGATCGAGCCAGAACGATGAAAAGAAGGGGGTCGATAGGGGTGAGACACCTCGGACGAATCGACGTTTTATAAATGTGGGCCCCTGGAACTCAGGACGCCGTCCCTGGGGACGGCTCTTCATCCCGAATTCCCAAGCCCTTCCCTTGGCCTGTTAGGGCCTCGCAGAAACCGAAAGCGGCAACAAAAGCTATCGTCGGGAGCGGTTCACGACGAGAGGATGTTTGGGCAGAGCTCAAACCTCCTCTCGTCGTGAACCATTGGTTGGGGCCCAATGGGCCCCTACGCCCAGATCGACGTCGACGGCCACGGCCTGCAGCGATCTTGTTCGAGACATGGCCTCCCTCAGCACTCTCGACCTCTTCCCGGGGGCCAGCTTTTCAACTCGAACTGCGGTTGACAACTCCGAAACCCAAACTGGCCGTCTCGATCTCTTCAGGCTGAAGAACTCTGCGCACCAGAGTTCCGCCCCCCCCCCCCCCTCCGTCCCCACCTCCCCCAATCTCGATAGAGGCCTCCCAGATGGAGTCCGAGCAGACGGGGCAGGAAGATGACGCAACATGGGCGCCGTCGGCGCGGATCAAATCGGGCTCCACATTGAGCCGCATCGGCGATGCATCGGCGATACGGCGCGATCCTCCGACCCCATCTCGGATTCTGGACCGCATCTGGGAGGCATGGATTCGTCCGACCCAAGACGAGGACGAGTGTGAGAGTCCCGGGGCCCGAAACTGGGCGAAAACGCCCGTGGTGGACAAAAATGCAATGCTCGAATCTCAGGGGTAGCGGCATCGGTAGAATTTCCCCCTCTCCGCCGTGCCTCGACCGACTCGTCGCACTCTTCCGCCTCCTCCACCTCCTCCTTCTCCTGCTCAGTCTCCTCGTGCGCCTCCTCCTCCTCCTCCTCTCCCTCCGCGTCCTTCTCCTCGCCCTCCTCGAGGCTCGAAGATCCAATCATTCTCGCGGGCCCCTGCCCCTTTTGGGACCTCCAGAAGCCTCTGGGGGGACCTCCACACCGACCCCGCACCGCTTCGGCCGGGGGCCGCCGCTGGGCCTGCAGCAGGGCCGGCGCCCACAGCCCCTCGCCGCCGCCCGGCACGGCGGGCGCCGGCAGCCCGGGCAGCCCGGGGGGCGGCAGGTGCGGCACCAGGGCCACCTGGGGGGAGAGGGGAGGGGCGGTGCGCACAAGGACACGCCAGAGTGCGATGTGACCTCCTCGGAGGCGCGCGATCGAGCCGGATCTGTGGTAAAACCACCTTGTAGCCGATCGATCGACTCCCGAAAGGTGTGGCCAGAAAGCGTCCGCCGAGGGAAGGGGAGGTAGGCGATCGAAATGTTCCCCATGCCTTTGCTCACGCCCCGATCCCGACGAGGGGCCAGAGCGAAGAAATGGAAAAAGTTCTGCCCTCCGAGGCCACGTTTTTCTTTTTTTAACCAAAATACTGCTGCACCTGGCGCCCAGTATGGGGGACAGCAGCAGGGGTATGGATCGAACGCCGATCGCCGAGGAGGGGAGGATCTTGGAGGACAGATAGGAGGAGGAGGAGGAGGAGGAGGAGGAGGAGGAGGAGGAGGAGGAGGACGAGAAGGAGGAGGAGGAGGAAGAGGAGGAGGAGGAGGACGAGAAGGGGAATGATGAGTTTTTTTTGTTGTTTCTTTTTTTTGTTCTCCTCCTCCCGCCCCGCTGAGCGCACCCACGACGGTGCGCACTCGGTGGCCCGTATTGGGTGGGCCAATCCCGCCGCCACGAAGAAGTCATTGACACCAATGAGGAAGAGGAAGCCGCAGTACACCCAGCACGAGTGCGCCATGGTATGACGGAGCCATTGCCACCTGCGAAGAAGAACAGGCCACCAATGAGCAGGACAACCCAGAAAGGCATGCACAAGGGGGCCGTGCCGAAGGAGAACGCGACACCCTTGAAGCCGAGGAAGCCGCCGAAGGGCAACGCCAGGTGCAGCATGGCATGGCGAAGTCATTGACACCTATGAAGCAGAACATGCCGAACACCCAGCACAAGGCGTGCGAGCGCACGCGGACGAGGACCAGGTACATCACGTATCCAGCAACTGCACCAGCTCCGTGCACTCAATGAAGCCATACTTGAGAGCCCCGTGCGTTCGAACCATGAGGTGGTGCTGCAGCCTGCCGAATCCGTGCCCGAGAACCTCGAAGTCCGTCTGCGCTGTCATGATCGACGCGGCCCCCGCCGAGTGCACCCATCGAGATTCGCGCCCGTCGACGACCCTAATCCTGCAGCCAGTGGGGAAGGCCAAGGTGAACGGCAGAGGCCCGATGCCAGTGACGAAGTCCTCCTCTGCAGACTTCAACGGCTCGGGGTCCGCGAGCGTGACGAAGCCCACCTCGCCCGCAGTTGTCGCGATAGTGTCCGCGCAGGGCTGCGTGAAGAACACTTGCGGCTCAACCGCCGTAGCATAGTGAATGCACGGGCAACGCGCCTGAGCAGCCAGAGCCGCAGGATCACCGGCCCCATCCTGGTCAGCCTCAGACCTTTCAGCAGGCAGGGCTCCAAGCTCGTTCAGCAGAAGGTTCGCCGTCTCATGGGAGCTCGGTTGGAAGACGTGCGCGTCCAGGTTATGGGGGAAAGCAGGGACCTCAGGCAACTTGACGTTGAGACCGACGTTCAGAATACCCCTGCGGCGAGGACGCTTGGGCGCCACCTGACCATTGCTCCCAGGAGGGCCCCACCGAGAGGACGCCGACGCCGCCCAAGGATCTGACGAGTTCTCTCCATGCCATGGGTCTCGCCCTCGACGCCGAGACGATGCGTCGCGACCATCGCCACTATCGTCTCCAGGATCGGAATCATCTCCAGGCGGGCCAGCACCAGGGTCCGATTGAGCTCGAGGCGGGAATATCGGTTTGAACGTCACACTCACATGTGACGTGCCAGACGATTTGCAATGCCCGTGGTCTACCACCACCCACGCGCCGAGCGTGTGGATCGCTTTCCACACCCGTTCCATGGCCAGCGCGTTTTCGGCGACACCGGCACCCGGCACTTTGCGCTGGAGGACGACCCGCACGGTCATGCCTTGGGTGGACGTGGTCATGCTGAGGCGTGCAGGACGCCCCTGCTGCAGCTGCTCGAGCACCCACGTGAGGCGCGCCGCAGGGAACGCAGACGCGTTCGGGGGGCCGCCGAGGCGCGAAAGCACCTGAAACGGCTGACGAGAAGGGGAATGATGAGGAGGAGGAGGAGGAAAGAAAGGAGGAGGAGGAAGAGGAGGTCTGAATGATGTCCGTAGGTGCACTTGCGGTTAAGGACGCACTGGCTCTTGTCGCCACCCGCGCAGGAACCCGCCCCAGCGGGTCCCTCGCGGACCTGGTGTTCAACCTCGCCTTCCTGCCCATGCTACATGACTTCCGTGATGAGCTCACAGCGCGAGACATCACAGTCATGCTCGATCTCGCCCCAGACCCTCTCTTCTCCCAAGGTTAGGACAAATCGGATGCTTCCTTGTCAGAAGCAGCGTCTGTTGACAACCTCACCGTCTCTCCCTAGTCGAAGAAAATGATCATTTTGAAACGCGCACCCGTGTACTTGTGAAGGCTATTTACATGGTTGCGGTCAAATTCGTTTTTTTGCTGTGAACTTCGGGCCCACCAGAGCAGCGGGGCTTCTTTCCTGGAGAGGGCCAGGCTGCCGCAATACCAGCGAGCGGATGCTTGTGCACCAGAATGCTAGGGCATGGCTTACAATGGCCAAGGTGTGGGCCCCACTTCCTAACACTCCTTCAGCAATACCCTGCACAGAGACGAGATCATTGTCCGCGATTTCGCCTACCGCACGACAAGCCAAACATAAGCCATCGGCCAACTCCAGAGGGCTTTCTACAAAAGGCACCAGCTCCCGAGAAAGTAAAACATCGATTAAACCGATTCTCCGTGCATCAGCAGGCTCCTCTTCAATGCGCACTCTAGGAAGAGGCCCCCAGGAAGCCCCAAGAGGCCCCCCGGGGGGCGACCAACGGGCCCCCAAGAGGCTCCCAAGAGGCCCAAAGACTACCCCCCAGAGGCCCCCGAGCGCGATCCGAAGAGACCCCAAGAAGCATCCCTGAGGACTCTGACCCACGTCAGCATTGTCGCCGTCGTCGTTCAGGGTCGGCGCACCAGACGTAAGGCCTCTCCAATCCAAGTTCGATTGGACGGATTCTCTGTGAACCAGCAAGCTCCTCTTCAATGCGTGCATTTGCCCCGAGCTCACTGAGACGACCTGGCAGGCCCTGCGCACCGCTTGCCTGCATCCCTACCGCCTGGCCATGGGGAGAGGCCCCAAGGGACCAAACTCCATGGTGTGCTCTGATATGGCCACGCTGCAGACGAAGCCAGGACGAAGATAACATCGGGTGAGGCTAAATCGAGAATCTCTGAGATCCGGCGGCTCTGGAAGATGTCTCGGGCGCCGCGGCCTTCTACGAGCGCTCCACAACGCTCTGAGAGCGCTCCAGGACGCTCTGGAACAGATTCATCCTCGTCCTAGCCCCGTCCGAAATTGTGCTCTGATATGGGCGTGCTTGCTGAGTCTTTGGCCGGACTTAAACCTAGCCTTGCGCATCAGCTGCCTCCAGTTTTGTTGGCCGGGTCCTTTGGGCTGCCCCTCTCCAGCTGTTGTGTCTTTGTGGCGTGACCAAGGATGGGCCAGGTAGCTGGTTCGACTTGCTGAAACAAGATCTTAACTTGCTTTCTGAGCTTGCCAAGGGTGCCCCTGGGGAGCCCCCGCCTTCCGAGTGGTGGATGCAACTGATCAGGCACGACAGACCACGCTGGCAGCAACTCCTCAGCTCGTCTTCCTCCGCAGGCAACCGACATGAGCTTGACCAACAGCGTCTCGTGGTGCGGTGAGATCTACTTCGGCAGACCTGCGACGCTGCGTCTGTTGCACCCCCATCCATTTGTGCCCCTCCCCCCTGCCAGGACGAGTTCGTTTGCTACGGATGTGGAAACATTTCAGCTAATATTTCGGCCTGGCCTAGGCAGCGTATGATCCCCCAGGACCCTGCCTCGCTGTAGAGTGTCGGTTCTGATTGTCACGCATGCTGCGAGGGATCTCACACTCGGCGGAGGATCGTTCGACATATGGAACACGGGCGACCCGCTTGCTTCAGGGGCTGGGTTGCTGTCCTCCCCGCCTGTCGGCGGAGGAAGAGGAGGGCACTGCTAAGATGGAAAGGGGGCACGGTCACCATATGGCGGTCGAGGGTCTCGCGGCCATCCAAGCCGAGTTCCCCGCCTTCACTTTCTTTGGCCCCTGCCCTGGCCCAAGACGGCCCCGCGGACCAGGCAAACGCTAAGCCCTCTCGCGCCCCAGAGCCTCCCCCGCCTGAAACTCATTTGATTGACGCGCACCTGTTGCGCGACCCTGAGAACATCCTAGCCCAACCCGCGCTGCACTGTAAGTCCACCGACTCGGCGCGTGTGAAACGCGGTCGTCGTCTTCGTCTTCGTCGTCGACGTCGTCGTCGCCAGTCCCAAATTGGAAGGGAGCGAACCGAGAAAAGAAACGTCATAATATGTCGGTTCCCTACCCTTTTTCCCCTCCCTGAACGGGGGGGGGGTGTCCCAGGTCAGATTGTGCCCTCCCCCCCCCCCCCCGGGGTCCTGTCGGGCAAAAGGGCGGAAGGGGGTCCCTCCGAATGGACAGGTGGACGCGGGGACCAACCAATTCGGGAGCTGCAGGAGATGTCCTGCCTGTGATTCTTTTTTGGGGAGGCCGGGTTAGAACACCACCCCCCTCCCGGCGAGCCCCAGGGGGCGGGTCCCGGTAGAGGTCCCGCCTTCAGGGTCGGCAGCAACACCCGTAAGGCCTTCACACTAGGTTTTGTACTTGTCTGGCGGACAGAGGCAAGAAGGGAATTCCCAACATTACGACGAAGAGTTTCATTCGGGTTTTGATTTGCTCGTGCCCTCCATTGGCCTGCAAAATGACCCTGACCGAGGGGATTCCTAAACCTGCCTCAGTTGCCTTGCTCGTGGCCCTCATTCGCACCCGCAGAATTATGCTTGTAATGAGCGGGCCCAGATGCGAAATTTGGTCAGTTGCGCGACGGCATGAATTTGAGGACAGGCGGGGCCCGAGAGTCCTGCGTTCCATTTCGAACCTATGGGGTTGAAAGCAACGCAACTCCAAAGAATTCCAGTTGCCTGAGCTCGGAAATGCCTGGTATAGAATAGAGGGGCTACGTATGTACGAATGTCGCTTCTCGGACCCTGCAAGCTTCCTCGAACACCCCGTCCCTCCCCACGACGCTGAGGCGCCCCCCTCCTGGTACCTTCCCGAATTTGTTCACATTAGGTCCCTTGCTGACCCTGAGAAACTAGACCGGGTCTGGGCTGACACGTGCATGTACGGAGCACGGTCCGCAAAGCCCCCTCTTGTTCTGGCCATAGTGTTGCCCAAGCTTCGTAATCTTGTTGCTGCGGCCCCGTCCCACAGCAGGTGCAACCACGGTCACCGATCCCACAATTGTGCTGGCGGGGATCCAACGGGACTGTAGCTTTCGACCGGCTGCTGCCAAGCCATACCCTTCCCCGCTCTGCTCCCTCCTCGCCTCTGCTGTGTGGTGGCCATGTCTGAGAATTCTGCCAATCCTCTTGGCGAGGCTGGGGGGAGCACATCTACCGAGGGGGACATGGACGCTTTCAACGTCCTGTGTGACACTACTTTGACGGGCACAGCTGGGTCAGTTTGGCCCCGACTTCAGGCCCAATGACCTGAAATCTTGAGTGCGAGCCCTGACGCCATCCCCGCCGACTGGTAGAAAGAAAGACGGGGCACGCCTCTTTTATCATCCGTAGTGCTCCCAGGTTTCCTGGGCGCCACCAGCCAGCTTAAATATCACCGGCCTGCGAATCGGATTATTCACTGTGGTTGATGCGCACCTCTGCAGGAGGAGGAGGAGGAGGAGGAGGAGGAGGAGGACCTGATACAGTGGCAGCTCAAGACACCCTGCGCCAAGAACTGCTGGCATGTCTTGGAAGGCACTTGATTATTTTATCCGCCGACCTCCATGGGCAACTCCGCCCTCGGAGCCGCCAGCGTTTTACGTCCGTAGCCCTCCGCTGCCCTTCCGCCGAAGAAGAAATACTCACATGCCACGGAAACAAATAACGACCTATCGAAAAACTATCCCTGCCAACTGTTTGGCCACCCCCAACCCAAAGTTTCGGCCAACCTTGGCCTGTCTTCCCAGCCAGCTCCCTGGTTAGGGCTTGTTTTTTGTCATAAGGCACGGCCGAATGTTTTTGTCCTTCGCTTCAGAACAACAGGGCGCATGAGATACACTAGGTCCTTCAAATGACGCCCCTTTCCCTTTGAACCCAAGGCGCGCACGGTTAGGGCCAGCCCGACAAACAAACCAAGTTTCTCAAAATCCTGTCTCGTAGGGGGTGGGACGGCAAGGAGGAGTAGAGCGAGGCACTGAAGCGGTCGTCTGGCGCAAAAAACGGTCGACAGCGCTGAAGAGCAGGCGGCGGGGGCCGCCGCAACAAGGCAGGGGGTAAACCAACAGGGTTCACCCCCCACAGAGCCCAGCGCCGCCGCGACCAGGCGGCCATAGCCAGGCGCGGACGCCGGGCTCCACGAGGCAACCAGCCGCGGACTCGGTGCTGCACGCCGCCAGGCGGTGTGCAGCCCCGCCTGCACGGAGCGGCTGCGTCGCGACAGCGCGAAAACGAACCCGAGGGGTCACCCCCGCGAGGGGCAGGTGCGCGGCACCTGCTCCCGCTCGGGCGGCGGAGGCCGCTACCGAGCGCGGCAGGTCGATTCAGACGCGACAGGCGTCAGGTCGAACCCTGTCAGGGAACCAACCATCTGCCAATCCAGAACCGGCCCTCTGCCAATCCAGTCGATGGTCGTTTGCGACAACATTTGCGCCGCAGCTTGCGGGCAGCGCGGACGGCCTGCACATTGCAGTAGCCGCCGCACCGCCTGCAGCAGAGAAAACCACCAGACAGGAACACGTCATGTCCCAATTACGCAGAACCTCCTGATGCAAATCGGTTTCACCAACGCCATCGCCAATGAAATCTGCAACGACGTCCAAAGCAACCGTGACCCTGCTGTCCGTGACTTTTTCCACGGTAACGGCGTGCTGCAGAAGAACTGGACGCCGCCAAGGCCTGCAGGTGATCCGGGGAACAAGTGCGTAAATAACCACTCTGCAGAGAGACCAAGGATGAGGGTGCTCGCTCATAGACGTTGCACCGCTTGCATCGGTACTCACCAAACTGCCCCGCGCGACGGTGGTAGCATAGCTCGTGGTCGGTGCTGCGCTGGATAGCTACCTCTGGGGCCCGCAGAAGTGGGAGGCAATTGCACGGCATCTACTCCCCACCTCTTCTCCGTGATAACAAGCAGGCATGCCCACGCTACATTTTGAAGCGCCAATTGATGTTCGCGAAGTGACTGCTGACTGGCCTCCCCCACAATAGAGGCCACCATGTGGCTGGCAGAACCGGGCTTCGCAAATTAGTCGGCCCAATTGATACCCAGCCAGTCCTCCAAGTCCGTGAGGTCACCTTCCACGATGTCGTCCGCATTGCGGTGAGCAGGGGTCCGTTTGAGCTAAGGAGGGCCCGCAGAGGTACGACCTCGCGTGTCCCCAAATACCTAGCTCCAAGCACGAAGGTGATGGCCATGAACCACCTGGCCAGACGTGGGGCCCAGGCAGTTCATTCGCGAACCAGTCGCACCAAGCCGGGCACGAAGAGGTCATGATCAGGGTTCGCGTCGAGGCGTGAGCTTGGTGGACTGCCGCTCGGCTCGCCCCACCGCTTCGAAGTCGGCCAGGGAGGGGCAAAGCACGAGCCCCGGCAAGAAGGAACCTCTTGGGGTCCAACTGTACTGCGGCCCACCCACACCTGTGGACTTCTGGCGCGCCCGAGGCGCAGTCCAGCCCATCAATACACGACGTCGCGCCCCAAGTACCATCCGTGTCCCCTCCATTCAAGCCCCCTGACCCTATTGACGACGGCATCGGGATATCGGGATATCCGCTGGAAGCTCGGGAAGTCCAATAATCATGCAAGGCTTCTCGTAGCAGGGGGCGCCCGTGACGAGGGCAGCCTGAACGAGGCGATCCCGAGCTTCGAGAAGATGGTCAGGAACAGCTCCAGGAGTGGCCCCGGTCGCCGACGTGCCCAAGCCTAAAGACCTGAGGAGGAAGGGCGTCATCGTGCCAGTCGGGCGCACAGTAAGACTGGCCCTCAGTCGGCCCATCATGCTCACCCACCGCTGGAAAGATGTCAGCGCCTTCGTCCAAACTACAGCGGGCATTGGTAGGGACATTTGAAGGCTGAGCGGCGCTTTGGGTCTGACCCGCACTCGTCGCAACATCATGCAAGGCCCTCAGTGGCCTGTTGCGCTCGCGTGGGGTCATCGTGGGAAGCGCCGACGGCCTGGCCATCAGTCGTCTCCGTCGAATCGGCAATTACGAATGCTGGCCATAGATAGAACACGTGCCCCCAACACTCGTCCTGGGCAAGCTGCTGTCCGCAGGCTTGGCAAGGCCGCATCGGCCTCCCAAACAGTAGATCACGTCGAAGAGGTATCGGAATATCATCGGCCGAGTGCGCCTGCAGTGCGCCAAGCTGCCGGAGACAACGAACTCCAGCAATGGCATCTCGAAATCCACGATGCCAAAGGTCAGCACCGTCATTGGCATACAGATGACGCCGAAGACGTTCATGCTGCCATCGCTGACCGCCCTCCACAAGGAAAGGTCGCAAGTCAACGGGGGGCACACCTGGTACAGGTCGAAAATATTGCCGACATCGTCCAGAAAGATGTGTGGTGCAACCAACCGCCAGCCTAACCGTCGTAGGGACAAACGCGTAGCACCAATGGGTCCGCGAACCTGGGCCCAGATAGTGCCGTCGTCAGCCTTGGCATTCAAGACCTCCCAGGCAAGGCGAAGACGGCTTGGAGCGCCACGTCCACCCATATCCATGCAGCGTGCCTTCTGACAACGTCGATGGAGGCAACATGAATGGGATCATACTCCGAGGACGGGTAAGTGACCAAGTATGCCTTCACACCCGCACTGAAACTGCCGCCAAGAGAACCATTGAGTACAACAGCAAACTGACGTAAAGTGCGAAGCGTCGCATCCGTGACCCCAGGCAACAAGGAGAAGGAGGATGAGAAGGAGGAGGAGGAGGATAAACGCGAGGAAAAACGAGGCGGACGAGGCGGAAGGGGGACGGGATGAGGCTCGAGAATCGAGGCTCGAGGTTGTGTTGTTTCCTTACATGTTAGGTCTCGGAGGGGCTTCCTCTCACCTCGGCTGGATTCCCCTCTTAACGATGGGCCGATCGCACCCCATGACAAGTCCGAAGGCGGGAGTTTCTGAAGAGGACAGGGAGAAGAAGGAACGATGGCGAGGGGGAGGAGGAGAAGGAGGAGGAGGAGGAGGAGGAGGCGGAGGAGGAGGAGGAGGAGGAAGAGGAGAAGGAGGAGAGGGGAGGTACAGGAGCAGGATTGGCGAGGAGCAGCAGCAGCACTTTGACCGAGCATTGGAGGAGCCTCTGGAGGAGGACTGTGGGGGAGGATCGTGGAGGAGGACTCGATGCTTGTTCTGGGGACCTTCCTAGAGCCACTCGCTCCACTCATGCGTCGATGCTGGGTCGAACGTCCGTCGACTTGAGTCGAAGTAGAGTCGAACTCGAGCCAAGCTTGAGCCGAATTCGAGCCAGCCTAGAGAATAACATAATCGTCAGGTGGGCCCGAGAAAGAGACAACCCAAACGAACACGTGACACCAATCGGCTTCCGGGGCATAACTCGGGTCTCAAGTGGCAGCTCGGGACGATATGGCCCCCCCTGGATATTCTAGAGAGCACCCCGAGGCAGGGAAAACTCCAAGAGAAATGACGAAGACGTCCGAATAGACGCGTCCGGATACAATTAGGATGAGGATCGAGGAGGAGAAAAAGGAAGAACCTGACATCCGACGCATTGACCTTTCCAATACGGGATCCCCGAAGTCCCGACCCTTTCACCAAGGCCGGCTTTGCATCCCGAGTCGTCTCTTGACGGTCACGGGGCCCGGCGAGGGCCCACTGAGGCCGAAAACTGAAAAGCAAGGAACAGCTTTGATGCTTCAATGCGCTGGAGGCCTGGGGAGGATCGACGAGGAGGAGGAGGAGGAGGCCGGAGCTTCTGGGGGGGAGCGCGTCTCCTGACCACACTACCGCCTCCGACGGCATGACTTGTTGCCGAGGGGCAGATCGACAGCCTGCAGAGCCGCTCTCGCCAGGGTTTGGGCGAGAGCCTGCATGGGGTGTGCCTCCCTCCCCTGCTGCGCCACCCGATCACGATGGGAACGCATGGCTGCTCACCTGAGAGTTTCGGGGGGAGGGGTGGACGAAAGCGATAGCCACGAGGGGGTCCAGAAAAGGCGAGACAGGGACATCGGATTCAAGCTGACTGCGCGCCAGCGTACACACAGGGGAACGGTGGCCAAAGCAGTGCTTCAAGCTGTCCCTGGCCCGCATCGACAGGAGGAGGGATAACGGCATAGACATCAGCTTTCGGAGATCCGCGTGGGATTTCTTGGATCGGCGCTGGACCACTCTCCGTGGCGCGAGGAGCGCGCCAGCGGCGGCGCCCGAAGCAATTTCGCACGGACATCCGAAAAAGTAGGTTCACGCAGGGCTGTGAATTCTTTCTCGTTTTCTTCTTCTTCTTCTACGAAAAGGAGGAGAAGGAGGAGAGGGAGGAGGAGGAGGAGGAGGAGGAGGAGGAGGAGGAGGAGGAGGAGGAGACGAGCGTAAAAACGGTTCGATCGAGCGCGGGGAATCTACCAGAATCCGCCACCCCAAACAGTGCAACCCCATGAATGGCCCGGGATACACGGGAGCGCCACGAGCAGGACGAGGAAAAGGCGGCCGACGGCGAGCAAAAGGTAGCCAAGGGACAAGTAGTAGCAGAAGTTACGGCTCCCAACCTTTGTCAGACTCCGAATCGCGGCCAAAGTCGATGTGTGCCCCCGGGCACGAGCACGGCAACATGTCGTCGCCTACGTACCTGAAGGAGCCGCCGCAGACCGAACAAAGCTCAGCAGGAAGCGGAGGAACGAGCGCACGGACACGGGCAGCGGCACCCCGCGAAGCAGAGGCAGACGGCGACGACGAGCCAGGGCACGGCGCCGACATCCCCTGCGCCAGCACCAGGCGGACCTGAGACTCGATAACACCCGAGTCGACGAGCTGTGTGACCGTGGCCGAGATCACCTTCGCAATGGACACGTCAGACTGTCGAGCCAAGTCACCGATCAGGGCAGTGAGCTGTTCGAAGACCTTCTCATGGGTGGCGATCTTGCCCCCCAAGATCTGAAACAAAAGACACTGTGGCAAAATCTTTGCAACGTCGATCCACATCAGACAGGATGCTATCACGGACCGAGGACGAGAATCCACAAATCTCACAGCCGACACTGGGAACATAGGGCGGCAGAACCAACGGGTGGGATCCGTCGACAAGCACGCATTGAGTAGCGTCAGAACCAGAGTCCACTAGAGCGCAAGAGTTGGTGGCGTCGCAGGCAGCGGGTTGAAATTCAGGATAATCCAAACGAAGACGTGAACGCTGTTGACGTCGGTCATACCTTGCACACACCACACCACTAGACTCCTGCGAAGACTTGCCTTCGTCGAAGACGACGTGGCGCTCGCGCGCCGCACGCCGGAACAAACGCCGAGAAGAGTTGAAAACCTGATCACCCACAATCGGTCGGGCAAGCGTTGCAGTGTGAGACGGGTGATGAACGTTGTGCTGCAATACTTCGCATAAGTACGTGTGTCGACGAAGAGCAGAGTGCTGGAGCGAAGAGTCCAAATCCCGATAAGAATGCTTCTCTACCAGACGAATGCGAGCAGCCAACAAATTGTATGCCTTACCCATGGACCACGTAGCCGTCCACGAAACCAGAAGGTAAGAAAGAACACTCAAGCGAACATCGCAGGCCAAATGTGCAACGGGGAGCTTGCTGGCTTGAGCCAAAATGGCTACGGAGGAGGAGGAGGAGGAGGAGAAGGAGGAGCAGGAGCAGGAGGAGCAGGAGAAGCGATATGCGAGCGGCGGCAGCATGTGCGGGAACGGGCGAGCGGCGGCAGCGGTCTGTAGCGCTGACAAAGGCGGCGTGGGATGCGAGGATTCACCTAAACCGCGGGCATCAGCGGTTGCGAGAGCGACTGGCAGTGGGCCGCGCTGCATTGGTAGAATGGGCTGTGGTCTGGAGCCTCTGGGGCGCGTGCGCCGCTGACATCCTGGTGCGGCTCGCGCGCTTGCGTGTGCGCGGGGGCGTGCCCCCTTCAGGACGCAAACGACTCCCCTGCGATCCGACGTCTCGAAACATTGAAACACCGTGAATTGTTACAACTAAAACCCTAGACCCAACCAGATCCTTCTGCGCCGTTCTTCGAGCCGGATCGATCTGTGATGGCCTGTGGGCCTGCGACCTGGCGAAACTGCCCGGCGTGAGAAACTCGCAAAGCACTGCTCAGAAGTGGACACGAAAAGAAAGGATGACCAAGGATCGCGGAGAATCGGGGATCGCGGATCGAGGATCGCGGAGAATCGAGAATCGAGGATCGGGGATCGCGGAGAATCGAGGATCGAGGATCGAGGATCGAGGATCGAGAATCGAGGATCGAGGATCGAGGATCGCGGAGAATCGAGGATCTGACCACCTGCGGCAGGCGCTGCGGCGGCGCCCCTGGCGGCGCCCCCGGCGGCGCGGGCTCCAGGGCGGCCCCGAGCAGCGGCGCGCCCACGGGCACCACCCCGGGCAGCCAGCCCTGCACTGGCGCCCCGGGGAACCCTGCCGCCGGGAAGCCCTGGCAGGGCGGGCTGAGAAGGAGGAGCGATTCCATACAGGGCTGAACCCAAACGGTGTTTTTCGTTCTCGTTTTGTGTTCGTTTTCCCCCGCTTTTGTCTCGAATCCGCCTTGACCGCAAAACGAAGTCGAAACGAAAGCGGCCCACGAAATGATTCCCCATATTTTCCCACATGTTCTGGGTGTTTGTCTTCCCGCCCAATTCCCATATGCTCCCATATTTTCTTGGGGATCGACGATTAATTGTGTCTGTGTTTTTGTTCCGCTCCCGAGAGAAGGAAGAACGCTTCCATATTTGGATCACCGCGCTGGGTGCTAAGTGGACATGGGGGCTCTCAGCCTATGCTCAGGTGGGCACCGTCTGGTCGCAACCTAGCTTGAAAGTGGGTCCTAAGGGGCTCAGGGGAGGAAAGGCCCAGGCTAAGTGGACCGAGCCCACTTAGCGGACTGCCCACTTGGCGGAGCATCCAACCACCCGGCGCAGCCAAGGGCACCCGTGACCCACTTTCCGAGCCCCAGGGCCATCACAGGTCGGCCTGGCTCGAAGAATGCTGCAGAGAGATGGGGTCTGAGGCGATGGTCCGGATTCTTCGCGATGTTGCCGTGTTGTTCGCACCGTCGGCTATCAGGGGGCTGCTGCAACCCAGACCTCCAACGCATCGCGTGACTCAATCTGCGAGGTGGGTGTCCCATCCTTTTCGGCCTCTTTGGGGGGGGCCGCGCCTGGCCCAGGGACGTGACTCAGGATGCAACACCGGGTGGGGAAACCCAAAGGTATACCGACACCGCTGCCCCCCGGACCTCTCCCGGGGTGCGTTCTGACCAGAATGTCGAGGCCGAATCCAGCGGTGACGACGAGGGTCTCCCAGGAGGCCTAAAAGGGGGAAAACGGCCGAAGGGTCGAGGCATAGGTACCTTTTCCTCCTCTGACCGGGCCTGGTGGAAGGGTCGGGACGTCCCGGGACCGAGTATTGCAAAAACTTCTTTCGTCCGATCTCTGGGATGGCCCGGATCCCCTCGCGCCGTTTGAAGAGGAGCACAACTGCATGCAGGTTGTTGGCAATTTTCAGCCTGTGGCCCTCGTTAGGCGCCGGGGCCGTCGACCAAACGGCCTGGGATGAAGGACCAGTCGATCAGTCCCGCGGAAGAGGTCAAGACTCCCAGATGTCCCCACTGTGCCAAAATCACGACGTCGGGGGCCTGCCTGAGCTCCATGTTCCTGCCCCGACAACAACTTTTATCCAGCTTATTACAAGTAGTATCTGTTTCGTGTGATTGCTACCCCCTACTAAACTTCCTCATCATTCACCCTCCTCGTCCCTCCTCTCTCATCCTCGTCCTCCTCATTGATTTCTCTTTTTCTTTATCTTGCTTCCTCTCTCGTCACTTCGTCCTCCTCCATTTCGAAAACTCCTCCTACGCTATGTAAGACAGCGCGGACCCCACACAATGAGTTCTTGCACAGTGGAGGTGAACTATATTCGGAGTACGCTTCGTGGCGTTGGCCATGGCTTGTAATAGATGTGGTGTGAACTGTGCGGTGCAGGCTGGGTTGTGGACGGTATGTTGCGTGAGCTATTTTCGGCAAGCCATGCGATGTAGGCTATGTGGTGTGAGCTGCGCGGTGTGAGCTGTGTTTCGTAAGCTATGCCGCCCGCTCGCGGGCCGGGGCGTCCGCGGGGCGCCCACGGGGAGGCACTGGTGCGGAGGGGGGCACTGCACCAGGAACCCCCAGATGAGGAACCCAGGGTCTGGAAGAGGATGGAACTCCCATCGTGGATCGGCCTCGCATATCTCCGCCGCCCCCACTGGATGAGGAATCCCCCAGGGTCTGCAGTAGGCGGCGAGCCAGGGGGAGAAGTGAGAAGGGGCGTACCTCCTCAGAAGGTTCAGAAGTCCCCTGGACTTCTGAGAAGTTTTCTAAGCCTTCCCCGAAGACAGAAAACACTTCTCAGAAGGCGCGAGGGCTTCTGAGAAGTCCCGCCGCTTTCTGAGAAGGCCTTCTCCTTCTCGATTCCCCCCCATCGCTCGCCGCCGATACGGCCCCTTGGGGGCACACTCCTTCACGAGCGCCCCCGCCGCAGCCGGCGGAACCTCGGCGGGCCCACGCCCAGAGGGCCCGGGGCGCTGCCGAGCGCCCGCCAGGCGCCCACGGGCGGTCTCCAGGCGAAGCAGCGGCGGGCCCATCACTCCTCCTCCTCCTCCTCCTTTCCTCCTCCTCCTCCTCCCTCCTCCTCCCCCTCTCCTCCTCCTCCTCCTCTCTCTCCTCCTCCTCCTCCTCCTCCTCCTCCTCCTCCTCCTCCTCCTTTCCTCCTCCTCCTCCTCCTCCCTTCTCCCCCTCCCTCCTCCTGAGGCGCCCACGGCCGGGCGCCAGTCGGCGGACCCACTCTCAAGGTGCGGGGGTGCCCACGACCGCCCGCGGGCGGGAGCATCGAGCCTCCTCTGCGTGCCCGTCCACTGGCTTGGGAGAGCCAAGCAGGAAGCACAAGAGGGCGAGCAGCGTTTGGGACGGCAGCGGCGCATCACGATTCTCGGCGCGGAGATCCAGAGACGTGCATCTCAGCTCTTGGCACTTTCGCCTGTGAGTGGTTGAATGAAACACTCTCAGCCTGTGGCGACTGAGGGTTCCCTGCTTCCCTTTGGGGGCGCCCAAGTGATATGCCTGTTACATCGCGACGAGCATGGAGCACTAAAAGGAAATGGGGCAGGGGGTACCTATACCAGCATTACGCCTGAGATGTCCCACGATCTGGGTGCGAGCTGGGAAGCGTAACGCCCCCTCCCCGCCCATCCCTTGGGGTGCGCAAGGGCCGCAAGGGCTATGTCTACGACCCCGCAGTGGTCAATACGCTCTCAACGGAACCGAACCACCGAACCGCTCGATGCTCTCCCACACTCGAACCGCGGACGCGCAATTACAGCACCCTTGGACGGCTTCTCCCTGGGATGCCCGACCAACCAAACAGGCAAGCCGCCTGTCACTTCCCCACGATCTGAGGCGCGAACGAGCGGCCACGCCTGGCGGCTTCCCCCTGTGGTGCCCGAAGGCCACGCCTGCTACTTCGCGATGAGCAGGGGGCTTTCAATAACAAGTATATCTGATCAAGCAAACACGCAAGTCGCCTGGGACATCCCCCCAATCTGGGCGCAAACGAGCACATGTCACCACTACTGGCAGGTCCTCCCTGGGAAGTCCAAGTGCCATGCCTGCTATACAGCGGTGATCAAGAGGTTTTCAAACAATGAGCCCGGGGTGCAAGAGCAAGCATTCCTGAAACCATTCCCACAATCTGGGCGTGAACGGGCACATGTTCCGACACCTGGCGGCTCACCCATGGGGTGCTCAAGCCCCTGAAACATGGCGATGAGCATGGGGCTCTGAGAACACAGAGAAGTCTAGCCAACCCAGCTGGCAACCCGATTCAGGCACCCCCACAATCTGGACGCGAACGTGCAAAGACCACCAACCCTGGCAGCTCCTCCTTGGGGTGCTCAGGTACCACGACTACCACATCGCGGTGAGCATGGGGCGTTCGAAAACAATGCGATCAACCTAACAGGCAAAATGCCTGGGCGCGCAGGTACATCAGGCCCGACCCCTGGCTACT